AATGCTATAAATTTAAAATGGACTGTTTTGTAAATAGTATAAATGAAAGGTGATATTCCTAATTTTGAAATAAATATAATATTAAAAATATTATTTTGGAGTAGAAAATGGAGTAATACATTGGAGTAAAACTCAACTGCATTTTGAAGTTACTCCATTTTAGAGTAGAAAATGGAGTAATACATTGGAGATGCTCTTACCGACCAAGTTATAATGATAAATCAATCAAACAAACTTTGTTTACAAAAATAAAAAATAAATGAAACAAACCAATTTATTTTTGAGAAAGAAACTAATAATTATCTGGAACTGTTTATGGTTGATAATACGTTATTTTTTTATTATTACCGTAAAACATAATTGGATAGACGAATCAAACAAACACTTTGATTGGATTAAATGAGATAAGAGCTACCACGAATCTTTGAATCAAATCCATATATAAAAAACAAAAGTAAACTTTGACCAGTGCCGCTCAAACATGTGTGAAGATGAAAAGGACAATAATTTGTTGACAAAAGACCAATAATTTTTGGTTCAGTGCTTAAACAATAATTAACTACGTGTTTTGTCTAATGAAGCAAGTATTAAACTAATTTTAGTTTGATATGTTTCTTGGTGGGATGCAAACCAAATATAAACATTTGTTTCTTCCGGAAGAAACGTGGAATCATAAACACCCACTTAACGTTTTCGTTAAACATAATTTAATAAGCTAATTACCCTAGAAATTAAATGTTAATAAACATACATAATTCAGATAAAGTGTTTTCTTAAATGATAATGACATACCACGGAGGTATACACATACACACGCAAACCACACGCTAATCCAACTTTCCTCCGAATATACCTCTGAGTTTGAAGTTTGTTCAAAAATTTTAAGTACGCGTCAGTTATTTATTTTCCAGCCATTTATATGTTGTCGAGATAACAAGGTTTAAAGGTGCGATTAAGCAAAACAATAATTGAACCTTAGTTCACCGAAAGAGGTATCACGACTGTCAATTATAAGTTACATGAATAGTTAGGGGATCATTCAAAGATATCACTAGCTATTAACCTTTTTAGTTACTAAATTTCCATATACACCATTTTTTAAAAATACACCACTTTTCACTTTTGCAACAGAAAATGTCTCATATAAAAAGTAATATTTTCATATAGAAAACGTAAAAACGTATCACAGCGATTATCTGGTAAAATTATCTATTATTTTCAGGTTTTTTGAAATATTAAATTGATAGTAGTTTGATTTTAGGAATCTTACATCGTAAAGTAATATAAAGGGATGAGTTAATCTCCTCACTTCTTGAGTAAAATATTCATAAAGGATGAGTTAATCTCCTCAGTCTTCTAATAGTTCAAGTTTAATTAAAATCATTTGGTAATGAAGTAAGTTCCAGCTTGTTTTCAACATGAAAATTATTAATTAGAAAGCCTCACAAAACAAACATAGAGTACTTTATATGCGAAATTCATGGACAAAAATTCGACAAATACGCTGTACCTTTATAATCTCCTATATATTTCATATGTATGCATTGTATATATATCTATTTTTTTTCTTTTTGTTCAAAGTATGCATTGTATATATAATCTCATATTATTAGTCAAATACTGTGATATCAACGTTAAAACCCACTGAGTATGGATATTACATATGCACGTACGCATAACAAACAATACGCAAGCAAATTATAAAGAAATCCAACTACCAGCAAAGTAGTTGTAGAAAATACACGTTACCACTTACAAGAAATGTTTTAATATATAAAGAAATACACTTCGAAGGAATTTATTATATCAAATTTGACTTTTGTTTCATTTGAAGAAAATTGAGTTTTATCATACGCCAGTAGGCTATAAGGTAATTCAAAATAAACACATTTTATTACTTTTTTATAGAATTTAAAGTCTCCCTCAAATAACAAGAAAACAAGAAACGTGAAAAACAAAAATATGAAAAATGAAATAGTCAACGTGCCAGCAACAACACGTGTGACTTTCGATTCCCCTATCAAGGGTCAGCATTTTGCACCTAGCTAGAATTATAGGTGAGCATTTTCATTTTAATATTACGTATTATATTTTTCTAACAAGAAAAAGTTACTGTATAGATAGTCTCAGTGAAGAATATTGTTGATTGAAAGAAATAATAATAATACCGGACGAGACGTCGACGAGTTGTTTGAATATACAGATCATTGTATAGTTCTTTAATATTCCATCGCATATACCGCGAGTATTTTTTTTTTTGTAAAACAACTTATACCGCGAGTATTACAAATTCAAAAACAAGATTGTTTTTTTTTTTTTTTTGATAAAGGGCTTTTAAAACAAGATTGTTGGGATGTAACCCTTTCTCCAAAAAAAGAAAAAATTGTTGGGATGTTCAAAATGTAATGTTTATCAATTTTAGAACTTCGAACTTATTCAGTGACATGTTCTGCATGTCAACATTTCCTATATACGTTTTCATTTTAAATGTATTATGAATATAACAGTTTGTGTAGATTATTTGTTATAAAAGTCTAATTTGCAGTTGAAGAAAGATAGTAGTAAGGAGAAATAGACGGTTATAGAAATTTGGAAAACGCCAAAATCCTGAAGAAACTTGCTTCAGGAACCGAAAAAGAGATAAAGAGAGCATTATGAATAATTTTATAATAGGCCAAACCGTAAAAGATAGCATATGCCAAAAGAATGAAGTAAGTCCACACTCCTCATAAAAGTTTGATATTATCCACTTGAATTCAATCGGTTTTTAAATCGAAAAACAAAATCTTGACAAGAGGATACATGGGAGTCCATCGCTTTATAGGCAAGATGCTATTAATATTTTGACTAAAAATTTCACAACAAAGGTAGTAACTAGATACATAACAAGTTTAATATAAGCTACTTTTCTCATTTACAATGAGCAATGATTTGAAATATTGTTTTAAGTTTTGCACATATTGATATCTTGTAGTATATAATGTATTAATTTTCGTAGTAGGTCAAGAACTTATTATACCGAACGGAATGGATACTCATCTTTTTACATCCTTTCATTCTTTGTCGTTATATACTTTTATATTTTCGAGATAGCTTTTTTTATTTATTTCTGGAATGATGGGTACTAACTTAGTTGAATAGTGGTCTCTTTACGTAATTTAGGAATGGTATATTATACTTTTAGTATTAGCACTTATTTGAATTTCTCAGCTTTCTTTCCATTTCTCCACTTTATAAAGATAAAGATGTATGATGTTATTTTGTAAGAAGATATTATACATATAAATATGTGTGTGGATATCCTTCATAATTAAGAAAAATGTATGTAGCAAAATTAGATTTTAGATTATCTCTCAATCAGTGTGTCGTAGTGTGGTTAGATATAATGAAAGCTTGCTTGTTCCACTGGAATTTGAACACTAACTTGTCAAGTTTAGAGCTACTCACCAGTCAACATCTTAAACTTTTAAGTCTTGATCACTTATGTGTTCTAGAAGAGAATTTTGTTTCGATTATCACATTTACCAAAAGTTATTTTAACATATTATAAAATTTGTTTGTTTTACGCAGCAAATTTGATTGTGAACCAAATAATACTTTTTAGTCCTCGCACAGTCTTACTCTTGCCGATGTTTTAGCTAAACAAGTTTTACGCTTGTATAGTCTACATATATAGCTTGACCTGATTTGAGTTTTCATGGGATTTCAATGGTTCATTACAAGTATTTTAATGTAATATTACTTTGGTCTTGAAAGTCAAGCTGGTGACATGAGATTAGAGTTGGGTGGGCGTGTAAATGGTCACAAATCAAAGTAGTAGTTCAGTTTATATGACGGGACCACTCATCTAGCGTATAAATTCCAAACTATCCACAATGCCTTTGACTTGTCAACGCTCATCTCCAATTCTTTTACTTTTTGCAACGAATAAATTAAAAAGGAGAATTCAAGGGAAAATACATTTTGGCTTAAAATGTGATCTGGATATAGACTAGTTACAGAGAAATACAAGAAACAATTACACCCAAAGCCACATTTTCACTTTCAAATTACACTTGGAAAGACCACTCGAAATACAATGATGTTTACTCAATTATGGACTTTGAACAAAATCAATAAACCCCCAATAATTGTAGGTCTGAAAAAAGCAGAGACAAACATGGACAGACTACAAAATCAAATTCTCAACCGTGAAGACTAATACGCTCAATAAGGAAAACATTTATACGAAACCGAGGACACGTATTCATTCAGTTTATAGTTTACAAAAAAAGGAAAATAATTAATTAGATATATAGTAAGAACAGAAAGTCTCTTTTGTTACTTTTCTAGAATGATTCTTAGTAACAAAAATCAATAGTAAGAAAGTAAGGATTATGATGATAACAAAACTTGGAGGTAGAAAGTAAAAAGGATGTGGAGGATTTGGGAGAAATCAAAAGAATAAGGGTCTTCCTGTAAATTCCCAAAAAATTCCCCCACTCATAGCGAGGATACGGCCTCTATGGCGCTTCCTAGTGGCCACGCAGCTTCCACGGCGTGTTCTCCATACTTCACCTTCTTCACTAACGTTATTGTCTGTGATGGCTTCAATCCTGTTTCAGATCATTAACGTTATTGTCTGTGATGGCTTCATAATATCATGGCACTAAGTCACTAACACATCACACATGCATGCCCATCATATCCACTAATAACCATTATCATCAAACTAGTAGGCGTCATGTAAAAGAAAGACGTAGAGAGTAGCTTACCGAATCCATCAACGAGAAGAGTGTATTGGTAAACAAGATCCAAGCACAGGTAAGGAAGATTGTCTTCCTCCACACGTGGGAACTTTGTTTTCCCTTCTCCTATTTTCATGTTACACGCTTGGCTCGCTGCTTTCTCAAAGTCAGCTGGACGAACCGTAGCCACTGGTTGCGACGGGTCAACGAAACCAGCCTGCCATTTACCACCATGGTTTTATCAAGCATAGACAAACAATGTGAAGTCAACGAAGACTTTTTAAAGGGGATAAATGTTTTACCTCTGCGGCTCTATCAAAGAAAAATGATGCGACAAACATATTCTTTTGGCCACCACCGCCTCCACCGTTCCACACTCCACCGAATGTGCATTTCATGTGTGTACACACTGAGTCATTGACTTTGAGTGCCTTTAGAGCTACTTTCCGGCATTCGTCTACACTTGCACCGGATGGAGAAGCAGCGGCTTTAAACGCCGTTCCACCATACTTGTAAGTACCTGAAACGAAACACATGTTACATAATTATAGCTGTCTCCATCAAGTAGATAATTAAGGGCAAGACCAGACGAACTTAAAGTGATTACTTAGTACTTGATAAAAACAAAACGGAGATTGACAAGAGAGTTCTAGTTTGAAACAGAGTGTCCTCGAGCTGTTTATGTCTCTCACTTACCATCATAGCCGGTGACAATGCAGGGGTTGTTAGAGCCCTCGGAAACTTTCAAAATCTCTGCTCGAGCAGCCAATAACCCGTAATGTAGGTAGCTGCAAGCAAGAAGCCAATAAGATATTGCGTTAAAGTTAACAGGCTAAATAAAAACTAGTTTCATGTCTCGAATGTAAAGAAAAACGAATTATCTAATGGGGTACAAAAGCAATTACAAATGACCCAACCTGTGAACATAGAGGAAATACTTTCGTCCCTTGAGATACATTTCTCTGACATAAGAATCCTCGCCTTGTAATGGTTTTGGTGCTGTTTTAGCTTCTTCCTCTGATATAGCATATGCCATCTGAACAGACCCCCCTCCAAGATCAACCACTCCAACCGTATCAGAGTAAGGCTTCCCCAAAGTCTTTAGCAAGTAGTTGATGGTCACCTTAAAAATTGACAATTTAGGGAAAAAAAAAATACAAACTTGTTACTCAACTACAGGATGTTCCCAGATAAAACAAAATTATTCACGCAGATCAGTTCTCATTATACAGAGACACAACAAATACAAGCACAAAAGTCTTTAGGCGTACTATAATATAATAACAGTACAAAATGGAATTAACATGAGTATAACACTATATGGGGAAAAAAAATCAGACACTATATGGGGAAAAAAAATCAGACAACATACCCATTGGTAAGAACCTTCTTGAGTACCATCCAGAACAGTAACTGCATTTGCCTCAGTCTTCAACCTACTTCGATCTTTCAAGAGCTCCCTAACCTTCAAAACAAAACTATATTTCTAAGCATAAACGCTACAAAAAGCAGTCAAATTTAAATAGAAATCATATGTTTTCCCAAAAAAAAAATTACCGCTTGCAAAATGTTTTCAGAAGCTTCATGACCCAAAGCTCTCAAACCAGCAGTCGCCTGCACAAGATAATATAATATAAATGCAAACTGAATTCACTTAATCATTACTAGATTTTAACCAGCGTAACCGCGCGGGTGTTTGTTTTCGTTTATAGTTAGTTATATAAACATTTTGTTTTCACTTGTAAATTGGTATATATTATAGTAATCACATATTTACGATATGTATAGTAAATGTTTACAAGATAATATACATAAATGAAAATTGAATTCACTTAAATCATTATGTGCAAGGAACTCGTTTCCATACCCCAACTCTAACAGGAGTCTTGGGACGCAACTCACTAGGAACAGAGTCCTCTGCTTTATCAAGAAGCGTCACCAAAGAGTTTGCTGATTGTCTAGGATCATTAGGATACGCACTCAATCCAGGCTTTAGCTGAAAATCAACATAACACAAAACAGAATCACAAACTAGAATCCCTAATCAAACATCCTTTAAACGTTTAACATCCGATTATGAACTACCTGAAGGAAGAGCTCAAGCTCATTCTCCAAAGGAACAAGATCCAAATTCGAATCAAAGCAATAAACATGGACACGGCTTCCCGAGCTCCCCGCATCGAAAATCACTGCGTACTTCTTCGAATCCGATCCTCCTTTCAACGCGTAATCAGACGTCCCCGGCATTAACACAATCACGAGAGTGATCAACACGATTGGGATCGAGATCACGAGCAGGAGACCGCGATGCCGACGGATCTTATCGGAGATCGAGTCGTGCCTCCCGATCGCTCGCTTCGCCGTCATCTTCGCGCCGTCGGTGGAGTCGGAGGTGGGGGAAGTGGCGAGACCTGACTCGAGTAGCTCGGAGGCGGAGGGGGAACGGTAACGGATCTTGTGGCCGGTGGCGGAGGACAAGGACTGCGGCGGATCCTTTGACGGATCCAGATCGGCCGGCGATGGTTTGATGAGTGCGGTTTGCTTAACGGATTGATCACAGATCTGTGAATCGGAGATTTGTGTGGAGCGATGGGAAGTGAAGTGATGAAAAGTCGTTACGTTTATGGTTTAACGATTTCGAGAGGGAGTTAACCGAAACCAAATTGAAGATAACTATACCGGAAAAAATCAAACTAAACCAAAACATCGGTTCACCCCGCAAGCCTAGAGCATCTCCAACTCATTACTATTTCTACCTCTAAGTGCTATAATAGGAAAAAAAAAATATACTCAAACTCATTTCTATTTGTCTTTTAAAATAGAAATTGTTATTTTTTTCCTCTAAATATAGAGATAAAAATAACATTCCTCTATTATAGTCATATTTTTTATTTACAAAATAGTTCTTTAATTTTTAAAATTTTATAATTATAACTAAAACAATTATTATTATTGAAAATATAGTTTTTAATAAACATGGATCACATTTTTTATTTATATAATAGTATTTTCTGAAAATTTTAGTTTAAATAAAATCTTAATTTTAACAATAAATCTTGTAAATTTTAAAAATAAATAGGGTTAATTATCAACTTCCATAATTAAAGGATATTTATTGTAAAATTTAGATAAAAATTATTTTACAATATTCTTTTTAGAGGTAAAAATAGAAAAATACATTTGAGAAAACACACATTTTTATTTAGAGGTAAAAATAGAGGATTACATTGAAAATGGTCTTAGAGAATGAAGCGAACAAAACCAAAGTTAACCATTCATTGATAAGTTAATGTTTCTAAACCGGAAGAAAATCTGAATGTATTAATGCACGAACCGGAGAACAGTTGACGTTAGCTTGGTAAATAAAGAGTTGAACAGAAAAAAAGAGTGAATCTAAACAATCCATAAGGAGACATTTTGTTGGTTTCTCCTTAATTTTGGAATGGGAAAAACATTCTGAATCTTTCTAAAACCGGTAAAGAATTGAACCGGGGTTGTCTAGAATGGTTTATCTCCTCAGGCTTTCTTCTGTTTCTTCTGGTGTGTCTCTTCATGTTTCTTTTGTTTCTTCTGTTTCTTTTGTTTCTTCTTCTGTGGTCGAGGACCTCGAGGTGGAGGGAAGATAGTACGGAAGATCAATGCAGCAGATAAAGCTCCAACGAAAGAACTGATCCAGTACACGTAGAAATGATCCCATGTGTTGTGAGAGCTGTACATATATGCCCACCCAAACGCCTACATTGCAAACACACAAGACAAATTTAAAATCATCATCCATCTTTTAAAGACATAACGTGAACCAACGGATATTTACAATGGCAGGATTCATGGCTGGTCCGGTGTAGTTAGAGCCAGCAACAACGAAGCAAATGGTTGCAAGAGAAAGCAGGGAGGTCTTGGCGAGTAATCTCCGTGGACCCTTGAGGATAATAATCAAAACCGCAAAGGTAATACCAAAACTTAAGATGGTCTCTGCAATAGCTCCAGTGTGCGCATCAACCTGAAGAGAAGGCCCTGCAATCATATGCTTGTACTTCTCTGGTATTAACTCCATGATGGCCAATGCACCTCCTGCTGCACCAACTGCCTGGTAAAATCACCAAAAAATTATCTCACATTTCTTTTTCAACATTATCCAGGAATTAAAAATCTTTTGTTTCATTAGAAGAACAAAAAATCAGTGAAAAATATCAAACATTTAATCCTATTAAGAGTGTTAAGATCTTTTCTTTAACTCAATATAACTCCTCCAAAGAAGTACAACTTACTCTTTCTTAAATCAGCTTTATTCAATTTTCTCAGTCTTTCTATCTCTTTATGTTATTACACAGAAACACATGAACACGCAAGTAACTTCAGAAAGAAAAAAAAAGATTAAAGATAAGGTTTTTTTTTGCTTTCAAGCTTTAATAAAGTGGGAAAACACATAGATCAACCAAAAGAATCTGATTCTCTGTGTTCTTCATGTACAAGCAAAAAAAAAAAATCAAATCCCAATATACTAAACAAGATCAAATTCGAGAATATACTAACAACAACACAAAATCATTCTCATTGTCCCAAAATAGTATCATGCATGATGAATTTAAGCACTTGCAAGTTGCAAACAACCAAAATGGGTACAAATCTCACAAAAGCATATACTGTACTATATTATACATTGAGATTCAGACACAACTAGATTCAGTTTCGTAATGACAAACTCAAACTTGACGCTCAAAGTACAAAAATTTCGAAAATGTTTTTGGATCTTGAGATTAGTAGTAAATACCTGAGCAGGCAATCTAATGGCCATAGTGAACAGAGTATCACCAGGGATCCCTGCGGCGTAAAACGCGGCGTTTCCGGTAGGATTAAAGCTAGCGGAACCGAACACAACGGTGAATAAAGACACGTAGACGAAAATCAGAAACGTGGTGATCGCTAACGGTGCCCACGTGATCCCGTGAAGCCCCGCGACGGAGATAATCTCCGTCGTCTGTAAACCGAAGGTTGCGGAGAGGACGACCCATGAGAAGGTCATCAACATGTCTCCAATCGCAGACTTCACAACACCCACCATGCTTCTTCTTCTTCGTGGTCGTCTTTGGTGTGAGTATTGATGGTTCTCTGTTTTTTTTTGGGGATCGGGGTTAGTTAGACTTTTCAGAAGATTGTTAGAGCTATTTTTTTTTTCTTCTTCTAATTGATTTTTATTTTTAATTTTGTTATGAAAGGAAGATATCTTTTGTATGGTTCACCTAACCAATCGCCTTGCACTTTGTTACTAACTTACAATAGTGTTATTGTTGGACTTTTACATGTAGAAATTTTACTGTAGAATTTAGATCATATATTTTTTTTTTAATGTACTTGTAAAAATTAAATAATAAGAAATACAAAAAGATATAAAAAATAGGATTTTGTACAACCATTTTCATTTTTCTTTGGTTTTAGCTTTCAAAACTATTTAAAGTATGATTGTTGTTTTACATGGTTAGATAGAAATTAAAAGTAAAATCACTATTTACAACCCAACCAATCATAATACATGGTTTTAATCAAGAAATGATTTTTTCTAGTTATAAGTTTTAATAAATTTATATATGTATCACTATCACCAACCATTTAGAACTCATGGTTTCTCTTTTTTTTTAAACTATTAATCTAGGGTATTCTAGACATTTAGAATTATTCATACTAATTTTCAGAAGAAGTAATCCACGTATAGATATTTTAGATATTAAAATATATTTAAAACAAGAATCTATATTCGTGTGGATATTTAGAAATAGTAAGATTTAGTTTTTTGAAATATGTAGATCAAATATGAAATGTATTAGCATACAAAATCCTCTCTTCATGAATAAACTACCAAACACTTATTTTTCTAATTAACTAGATTTTGAACATGTACATCCGTGCAGTATTTTTTCATTTTATAAAAATATATCAAAACCTTTCAAATATGTATGATTTACATTTTATTGTTATATATTGTATTATTTTATAATTTTAATTATTTTATATAATATATTGTTGTAAGTTTTAAAATAAAAAATATCCATATATAATTTTTATATAATGTATTTGTTGTGAGTTACAAAAATATATGTTAACATTTTTTTTATAAAATATTATATGATTTAAAAACTTTAATATGTTTTAAAAGGGAGTGATATTTATTTATTTATTTGAATAAAATAAAATTTTAAAAATAAAATATTTTCCTTTACCAATTTAATATATTTTATATTCATTTCACATAGCATTTTATTTTAATATAATATAGAATATAACTAAATTATAAAATATAACAATTTTGTATTTTAATTAACTTTAATATAGATATTTATATATTTTAATCACGAAATTAAATAATTCATATTTTATAAAAATATTTAAACTTTTTAGTTAGATCTTGTTAGATATTTTCTCAACAAATTTATTACTAATATCTTATTAATTATTAAAATATTCCTCTAATTATATATATTTGATTGATTAATATAAATATGTCATATTAATGAGATGGTCCAACATGATTTTTTTGTACTAGATATAAATGGTATTTATCTTTTAATAGAGAAGATACATTAAAGTAATGAAGTTTAAATTAAAATACTGTCTACAAATTTGTATTCAAAATATAAACGATTTTCTGTGAAATAAATATTAAATTGACATTTTGTAAAACAGAGATATTTTCTTGTTATGTTTGAGAGAGTAGATATGTTCTCAAGATTTACACTAATTGAGTTACCAATTTAAAATCTTACTTTACTGACTCTAGTTCTTCAATTTAATGACTACAAGATTTTTTAAAATATGTTAAAGTGGTTACCAAATAATTTTTCAAATTTCCAAATTAGTCAATACACTCTCTTTATGAACATTAAATGTCTATAAACAACATACCATCCTTCTATACATGCATAATTTCATATAAATACATAGTGTACGTGTAGGATTTTATCAAGATACAAAACTAAAAAAAACTACCAGAAATCAAACACTCCGGTTCCAAAAAACGTGACAATGAACAATACAAAGGGAAAACGAAGGACCGAAATGAAGAAGGTTGAAGACTACAAAGCCAGACTGGCTACGTTTTCAAAACGTAAAGCCGGGATTATAAAGAAGATGAATGAGATCGTTGCACAATGTGATGTCGAAGCATCTTTTTTGGTTTTCTCTGAAGCCGGAAGGGCTCATTCGTTCGCACATCCGTCCATGGAAGATGCTATTGCTCGAGTAAAGAACCCTTTGAGACATGAACCATCCGGGGAAAACGGTACCAATATTGAGCAGCTAGTGGAAGCTCATAAGAGGCAAAAGAACGAGATGCTCAAGGAAATGTATGCTGCTCTCGCTGAAGAGTTGGAGATGGAAGAGCAGAATGAAAAAATTTTGAAGGGATTATTGGAAAGTGGAAATGATGAGTCGGACAAAAAGTGGTGGGAAGATGATGAAGGCCTGAGCGTGGAGGAGTTGAAGCGGAAGCATGAAGCTTTTGTGGAATTAAATGTTAACTTATGTGCTGCTTCACAACAGTTTGGAAAAGATCGATCTGTTTGAATAAACTTGATTTAATCTCTTTGTATTTGAAATGCTGATTTTTATGTTGTTTTTCTTTGTTGTTGTGATGATGGATTCAGTTATATGATTAGTGATATATTAAAAAAGAAGTCATTACTCTTTTAATGTGTGATATTTTAAAATAGATCATCTATTACAAACTTTTACTATATGTATTTCATTAAGATTAATAATATAAAAAATCTTTAAAATATTTTAATTATAATATCTTTTGGCATTTTGTCATTTTAAATATAAATATATCTAATCTATTAAAAGATAAATCATGACTCTTTTTAATGTGTGATATTTTAAAATAGAGCATCTATTAGAAACTTTTACTATATGTATTTCATCAAGATTAATAATATATATAATCTTTAAAATACTTTAATCATAATATCTTTTGATATATTTTCATTTTAAATATAATTATATTTAATTAATTTCTAACAAATTGTTTTAAAAGATTTTTATAAGATCTTCATTTTATATATACTTTTACATATACATTAGTGTTAAATTTTGAAAGTTATAATAAAAATCATTTAAATAAATGTATTTATTTTATGAATAATTTAAAATGATAATATAAACAAAAAACAATGAATTGGATTTTGAGTTCCTTTGAATTAAATGACAGTAACAACAAATTGGCACTATTGTTTAGATTTTGAGTTTCTTTATTGTTTTTCTTTGTTTGATAATATCATTTTGATTTGGTAACAACAAATTGGCACTATTGTTTAGATTTTCATAGTTGTTAATACAAATTATTTAGATTTTATCTCTTGAAACAATTACTTTGGGACCTATTATAACATACACGCAACAAATGTTCTATAATTTATTATTTATGTTCTATTTGTTGGAGTGTTGGATTTTTTTTTTCTTTTTTTCAAAAGTACGGATGGAGTCATGGCTGTAAATACAGGTATCCCCGATCGACCACGGCAAACTCTAGAACGAAGCACACAAACATGAAAATAAAGGGTTATACACTACTAGATTTCTGAGCGGTAGAATAGTCTCTCGTCAATATACTGAAATGATTAACAGAAGTTGAACAAAGTTTGAAACAGATAAGCTAATATATTATTGATGTCTGTAACAGCAACACACATGAATACCATCAATCACTTGTCAGCATCATGTACTCACACACATTAATCCTCTATGATTTATTTTTTATGCATTAAAATAAGAGACTTTATTGGTTCATAAGTCACTTTCATTGGTTGATAACTCGTAGAAAATTCAATGAGAAAACTAATTTGAAGTTTGGAAAAATCATATATCAGAAAAACATAATAATAAAATGTTAATGTACTAAAATTAAAAACCTTAGATCTACACACATTTATAGAATTATGTTTTTCTTTGTTTGATAATATCATTTTGATTTGGTAACAACAAATTGGCACTATTGTTTAGATTTTCATAGTTGTTAATACAAATTATTTAGATTTTATCTCTTAAAAGGTACGATGGAGTCATGGCTGTAAATGCAGGTATCCCCGATCGACCACGCCAAACTCTAGAACGAAGCACACAGACATGAAAATAAAGGGTTATACAAAGTTGAACAAAGTTTGAAACAAACAAGCTAATATATTATTGATGTCTGTAACAGCAACACACATGAATACCATCAATCACTTGTCAGCATCATGTACACACACACATTAATCCTCTATGATTTATCTTTTATGCATTAAAATAAGAGACTTTATTGGTTTACAAGTCACTTTCATTGGTTGATAAGTCGTAGAAAATTCAATGAGAAAACTAATTTGAAGTTTGGAAAAATCATATATCAGAAAAACATAATAATAAAATGTTAATGTACTAAAATTAAAAACCTTAGATCTACACACATTTATAGAATTTTTTTTTTTTTAAATTAAGCACACAAAATCAAACAAAAGAATATTGGTTCACAAGTCGCTTTCATTGGTTGAGAAGTCGTAAAAAACTCAATGGAAAACTAATTTGAAGTTTGGAAAAATTATATATCAGGAAAACATAATAATAAAGTGTTAATGTACCATAATTAAAAGCCTTGGATCTACACACATTTATAGAATTATGTTTTTAAATTAAGCACACAGAAGAATTACCATCTATATTAAAAAGAATAGAGAAATCGTGAAAATACATAAACGTTAGGTAAGTAAATTTTGTCTTTCAGTGACTTAAGTTACAAATAAATTTATCTCTCTTTTGGTTTTAGAGAGTTTTCTTGTTATGTTTGAGAGAATAGATATGTTCTCAAGATTTACCTAATTGAGTTACCAATATATAATCTTAGTTTATCGACTCTAATTAATTTCTTCAGTAATGACTACAAGACTTTTTAAATATATTAAAGTGGTTGCCAAATAATTTAGTCAAATTTTCAAATTAGTCAATACATGCATATTTTCATATAAATACATAGTGTGCGTGTAGGATTTTAGTAAGACACAAAACTAAAAAAACCTACAGAAATCAAACACTCCGGTTCCTAAAAAACGTGACAATGAACAATACAAAGGGAAAACAAAAGATCGAAATGAAGATGGTTGAAGACCACGCAGACAGAATGACTACGCTTTTAAAACGTAAAGCTCAGATTATAAAGGAGATGACTGAGATCGCTGCACAATGTGATGTCGAAGCATCTTTTTTGGTTTCCTCTGAAGATGGAAAGCCTCATTCGTTCGCACATCCGTCCATGGAAGATGCTGTTGGTCGAGTAAAGAACCCTTTGAGACATGAACCGTCCGGGGAAAACGATACCTATATTGAGCAACTAGTGGAAGCTCACAAGAGGGAAAACAACGAGATGCTCAAGAAATACTATGCTGCTCTCGCTGAAGAGTTAGAGATAGTAGAGGAGAATGAAAAAAAATTGAAGGGATTATTAGAAAGTGGAAATGATGAAGGCCTGAGCGTGGAGGAGTTGAAGCGGAAGCACCAAGCTTTTGTGGAATTAGGTACGGCTTCACAACAGTTTGGACAAAAAAAGTGATGGTTCTATCTTCTGATCTTGCGGTACGTGGATATTATGGTATGGTGGTCATGACCTCGATGCGTTTGAATAAACTTTATTTAATCTCTCTTCGTATTTGAATAAATGTTGTTTTTCTTTGTCGTTGTCTTCATGGTTTCAGTTATATGATTGGTGATATGTTATTTAAATCATGAAACTATTCATGAACTTCTCTTTATCTTTATATATCTTGTCGTTGTCTTTCGAATTTCATTTTTAGTTTTATGTTTATAATCTTTTCGGACCAGCGAAAACCATAATGGTATAATTAATTTCATATTCGTTGCCGCTATTCAGACTCGTAACTTTGATCGTTGTATTTGTTCTAAATACATTTTATTATCGAATTTGTAAGATCTATGAATGTCCATGAACAGTACGCATAAATTTGATTTTGGATGAGAAACAAATCTACACTATTACCATCTCTCGACCGGTTCTGTTTCATCATCCTTGATACTTGATAGTCAAACTTGCCTCGGAGACTTTTTTTGCTCCTTACCTTATACAAGTTGAAAGTTTTGGCAATGTCCATGTACAAAACACATTGACTTTAGCTATGTGAAATAAATAATTTGACTTGAATAATTAAGACAACACAATAAATCAAAGGAACGGTGCAATACACAGCCATACACAATCCTGAATGTAACAGTTGCAAACCGTTTTTTAAGTACAGTTTACAAACCTTCTCAAGAATGCAAAAGTCGAAGCTATTGAGTTACCAATTTACAATTTTAGTTTATTGACTCTAATTCTACAATAATGACTACAAGTTCTTTAAAAAAATATATATTAAGCTAAATAATTAGTCAAATATGCAAATTAATCACTACAATCCTTTATGAACATTAGCTAGTGTTTACAACCAGTTTAACATTCTTCTATACATCTATTTTTCCACAAAACTAAAAACCTACCAACAATTAAATAATATGGTTCCTGAAACGTGACAATTAAATACTAGTTGTTGTCGAATTTCATTTTAAGATTTATGTTTATAATCTTCTCGGATTTAGATCATGATTATTGGGAAGTTGTTAACACAGTTTCTCAAAATAAAAAAAAATGAAAAAATAATAAAAATTAGGAAATACAAAAAAGGGAAAGGGAAAGGTTAGGACAAGTGTAATGGAGGTTTTTAGCTCCAAAACCTAGGTAAAAGAATAGTAAAAAAAATTGATGGATCTCCAATGCACTAATGATTAGCCTCTTCATATCCTTATTTAATGATCAATTCATGGAGAATAACGTCACTGTTTGCAGGCCCTACTATTAGGTGGCGGTTCGCCATTGGTTATCATTTTTTTTAGGTGAAAAAAAAGTTATAAAGATTTTTACACGGGTATATGGTTGCACATGGTCTTAACAACAATCTTTAAGACACCATTTAGAAACCACACACTTATGTGTCAACTAGTAATTAGTTTGTTATTTCCAGAAAAATAAGTATATAAACTATTATTATAATAATAACATCTTGTTTTCTTTTAGCTAATCATATCGGTTCTGACCAATGACATAGTTAATTTCATATTTATTGTAGCTATTCAGAAATTTCGATTTAAATATAGTTTTTTGGTAAAAATTTTAAATATAGTTATTATCCCGTTTGTAAGATCTATGGATGTCCATGACTAGTATGCATAAATTTAATTTTGACGAGAAACTAAACTTTCACCCTTTTTTTTTCCTTGAACCACATGAAGGTGAAACTTAATTTACAAAATTATAGCCAACTTTTACAAAGACTTTACCATAGAAAAAACTTTAAATAACTTTATAATCTCCAAATCGCAATTATTAGATTTTCTTCTCTTTTTTGTAAAAAATATTTTTTCTTTTTCAAGAAAAAAAATTATTAGATTTTCTTCGAACATCTGTAATGATTTTTATTAACAATTTAATATACAACCCGTAAAATTCTTAGACAAATGATTGGAATGTTGTATGTATATTTGAAGAGCGACTCATCTGAAGACAAAGTAAGTTGCCCACACGTATTTATTTGTAGTTGTATTGTTTAACAAATTTCCCATGCTCTATTTTTTTAATTGTAAACTATTGCCCATGCTCTTGCACTACCATGCATACATGCATTTCATTGAGACGTGACGTGGTATATTGCTTGTTTTGTGGAAATCTCTCCAACTAATCCACATTATACACTATTTTAACCATCTCTCAATCGATTCTGTTTTATCTTCGATACTTGATAGTCAAACTTTCCTCGAAGACTTTTTGCTCGTTATAAAAGTTGAAAGTTTTGACAATGTCCAATGTCCATGCATAGAAGCATTGACTTTGAATGTGATATAAATAACTTTTTCTTTGTGATATAATAATTTGATTTAAAATGATTACGACAACACAATAAATCAAAACGAACTGTACAATACAATACAGAGCCATAAACAATCAATGGAGATTCTGATTTCTCTGCTTGTTTGCTTACTTCTCTTTTCGACGATTAAACCGGGAGTAGCTGCTCAAAACGATGGCGTTTTAAAAGAGGTTAAGGTTGGATTAGTGGTTGACTTGGGTTCCACGGAAGGAAAAATCCTCGAGACTTCTTTATCCTTGGCGCTTTCAGATTTTTATCGCATCAACAACAAATATCAAACCAGAGTCTCTGTTTTAGCAAGAGACTCTCAAGGAGACTCTCTCCTTGCCTATGCAGCCGGTGAGTTTCATTTTCTTTAAATCTTTCTCCATCAAACTAATTTTTTTTTTTTCCATCAAACTAATTTACTAAAAGAAAAAAATTACTCGTTATTTAATCATGAATGTAACAGTTACAAACCTTATCAAGAATGCAAAAGTGGAAGCTATTATTGGTGCACAATCATTACAAGAAGCAAAGCTTCTTGCAACAGTTACTGAAAAAGCTAAACTTCCTGTAATATCACTTCTTGCTCCAGTTTCTTTATCTTTAAACAAGTATGATCACTTCATCCAAACAACACACGATCCTACATCAGAAGCTAAGGGTATAACAAGTCTCATACATGATTTAAACAAGACATCAGTTGTCGTTATATACGAGGATGATGATGATTGGAGAGAGAGCTTGCAAACACTCATGGAGCATTTTCAAGATGAAAGAATCAGCATCGAACGTACTGCTTCTCTCTCGTCATCAGGAGAAGATCATATGATGAATCAGCTAAGGAAGGTCACTAAGGTCTCAAGGACAGCAGTTTTCGTGGTGCATATGTCTGAAAATCTTGTTTCTCGTCTCTTACAATGTGCGGAGAAGTTAGGTTTGATGGAACAAGATCATGTTTGGATTCTCACCGCAAGAGCCATGCATCATTTTTACTTCTTGGAACGTTTTGAAACTAGGTCTATGAAAGGGGTGATTGGTTTTAGATCATACGTTCCAGTATCATCAGAGACTATGAATTTTACTTCAAGAGTGTCAAAGCGTTATAGTGTATGGGCACACGATGTTGCTTGTATTCTAGCAACATCAGTAGAGAAATTGAGTCTCAAAAAATCTGAAAATGTATCACCAAACCTTCTTGAGATAATGAGGCAGAGTAGTTACAAGGGTATGAGGCAATCTAACATTCAAATGGTTGGTAACAAGTTTCTTTCAAGGACATTTGAGATTGTGGATATGGTTGGAACAAGGGAGAGAAGAATAGGATTATGGAGTTGTGATAGATTTTGTGAAAGAGCTTCTTCACCCAATGATATTAAGATCATCCCAAGACACCGTTTTCTGGAAGAGAATGATGACCATAAGAAGGTTCTTAGGGTCTTAGTTCCAGCACGGAACAAGGTTCCAAATCTAGTATCCATGCGTCTTGATCCTGAAACAGGTGTCTACACTGCCACTGGATTCTGCATGGAAGTTTTCAAGACTTGCATTGCACCTTTTAACTACCAGCTAGAGTTCATACCTTATAATGGAAACTATAACAACCTTGCTTATCTACTCTCTACTCAGGTGTGTTACAAATACAAAAAAAACACTATAGTCAAAATGGTATATGCATGCAGCATGTAACATGTTCTAATAATGTGTTTTTGTTTTGACAGAGTGATAAATATGATGCAGCTGTTGGTGATATAACCATCACTTCCAACAGATCTTTGTATGTTGATTTTACACTGCCTTTCACAGACATTGGTATAGGAATCTTGACGGTAAAGAAGAGAAGCCAAGGGATGTGGACTTTCTTTGACCCTTTTGATAGATCCTTGTGGCTAGCTAGTGGAGCTTTCTTTGTCTTGACTGGAGTTGTTGTTTGGTTGGTTGAACGGCCTGTTAATCCTGAGTTTCAGGGCTCTTGGGGACAACAACTTTGTATGATGCTCTGGTTTGGTTTCTCTACCATTGTCTTTGCTCACAGTAAGTCTCTATGTTTACTCCTTCAGTTTTAAAAATATCAATTTTCTGTAGTTTTTACGCATATTAAAATTATAATATCTATTATTTATCTTATTACACACTTTCTAATAACCATTAATCATTATTATTAGACTAATTCTATATATTTTCAATTAATATTTGCAACTTATTAATATCAAAGAATCAAAACAAAAATTAAATATATAAAATTCATTATTGTCTAACAAGAAAAGAAATCTATAAATTAAATCTGAAGGTATAACTTCTTTTTTTTACTATATATATTTTGGTGGGTAACGGGTATACATTCTTGGCAGGAGAGAAGCTGGAGAAAATGTCATCAAGATTCTTAGTGATAGTTTGGCTATTTGTGGTGTTGATATTGACATCAAGTTATAGCGCAAATCTGACATCAACCAAGACCATTTCTCGCATACAACTTAACCATCAGGCAGTTTTCGCCTCTACCACGTTACAAAATATGAGGCTTGGATCCATTGATGAAGTTGAGACATATGCTCAAGCTTTGAGGGATGGAACTCTTAGTCATATTATCAATGAGATACCATATCTCAGTCTCCTTCTTGGATACTATCCAGATGCTTTTGTGATGACAGATAGAGAGACTAGTACCAATGGCTTTGGCTTTGTATGTACCTCTCCTCAAAACTCTCACTGGTTTTTAATTAGTTTCCTTTACTAATCTATTTTTATGTTTGATTTTTTTCAGATGTTCCAAAGAGGTTCAGGTTTGGCTACTAATGTTTCACGAGAGATTGCGAAGTTAAGGTCATTGGGAACTTTGAAAGACATGGAGAAGAGATGGTTTCAAAAGCTGGATTCATTGAATGTACGTTCTAAAGCTGGAGATGTTGCATCTCTTAATGACGTTGATGAAGCATATAATCGGTTCAGCTTCGGTGAGTTGCGTGGTTTGTTCATCATTGCAGGAGTTGCTCATGCTCTTGTAATAACCTTGCATCTTGTTCATATGCGTCAGGAGATACTCACCAAACTACAAAGCTTTTACTAGTTAAAAAAAAAGGATTCATCATTCATAAGCTGCTGCAATATAGTCTTCGAGTTACAACTTTCAAGAACAAGAAGGTACACTTGTAAATTTTGAAAATGAATGTCACATGTAACACTTAATCCTAGTTTGTAAGTTTGTGAATATCATTTTATATTTTTTTTTTGTTTTATACTATATAACTCAGAACATCACAAGAAAGGATAATTCATTGTATTTTATTTATTTCTTGAGTATGTTTTTTTTTTCTTTTTTCTTTAAACTATTTCTCGAGTATGTTTCAATAAGATTATGAACTAACGTTTATTATCAACATATGCTAGTCGCATTTTTTATATTGCAAATGAAACGAAACTAATCAGTTTCAACATTTTCAAAATATACGTCATCTCATACGCAACTTTTATGATACTATCACGAAAATCAAATTGAACTTTTACATTCAACTATTCGTTGACTTGGAGACAAATAAAATACCAGACAAGTAGACAACACTACATTTATGCAGAAGAGTTCATATGACCTAAGCAAAGAACATAGAATTGTATTTTTGTGTAGAATTTTATTGGTTGGGGCGTTTACCCTTCTAGAAAATTGAAATCGTCTACTAAAATGGGCCGGCCGCACTTGTCAAATACGGTGCGTTTCATGCCTACTCGACTTGACCCGGCCCGTTTCACATTTTTAAAAGAATCTTCTAGTTCATCGCGTGAGATACAGACGCCACGACTCGCCTAATCGCATCAATTAATTTCCTAATTAACAACTCAGGGGTGACGACATTTTGCCAAAACAGAGTGACTAAAACAACGATAAATAAGGTAAATAAAGGAAGTCTCGTAGGGCTACTTGGTCATTTCAGTTTAAGAAAAATAATAAAAATCAGATCTCTGACTTATTTCCCAAGAAAAACTCTCCACCGTTAGATCATTACCGATCCCCCTCTCCACGTTCTTCTCTCTCTTTTAAATACACACCTCTCTTCTCGGATCTCACTCACTCACTGTTTAATATTCTCATCTTCTCTCTCGCGTCTTTGATTCAAAAATGGGTGAGTACACCTCTTTCGTTGATTTGATTTCTGCTTATCTGATCTGATTGTTTTTTTTTATTTCGCTTTTGTTTTGTAGCTGGCGGTAAGATCAAGATCGGAATCAACGGTGAGTGTTTTTTTTGATTAATTAGGTTTTGTTAGCTTCGGATCTATTAGAATCTGACGTTTTGGTTTTATGTAATCTTTAGGATTCGGAAGAATCGGTCGTTTGGTTGCGAGAGTTGTTCTCCAGAGAGACGATGTTGAGCTCGTCGCTGTCAACGATCCTTTCATCACCACTGAGTACATGGTTTGTGTTTCCTTCATTCCTTCCACGACGTCGTTTTGGTTATATATATATATGTCATTTCGATCTGTTGATTATGTTTATTATGTATGTGTGTTTGTAGTGTGAGATGAATGATTGAATCAGTAATTAGATCCAATAAACTGGTTTAGTTAGTTGGAATCTCATGTTGATTAGCTGATTAGATCATTTTTTTCGAGCTGACGATGATTGAATTGGAGTCTTTGTAAAATATGATTGAATTGGAGTCTTTGTAAAATTGATTAGTCTCTGTGTTTTTTTTTGATGGTTGCAGACTTACATGTTTAAGTACGACAGTGTTCACGGTCAATGGAAGCACAATGAACTCAAGGTTAAGGATGAGAAGACTCTTCTCTTTGGTGAGAAGCCAGTCACTGTCTTTGGCATCAGGTACTACTACATCTACGTGATGGTTATCTTTACTTAGTGTGTATGGATTTGTTTTTGAGGGTTTTAATCTGACGGGTGATTTGTATTTTGTGAAGGAACCCTGAGGATATCCCATGGGGTGAGGCTGGAGCTGACTTCGTTGTTGAGTCCACCGGTGTTTTCACTGACAAGGACAAAGCTGCTGCTCACTTGAAGGTTTGTTTTTATATACCATTATAGATTGGTTCATATGCTATTGCTTGTCGGTCTTGGAAAATTTTCAACAATATCTGGACATAAACGATGTACTTATATCTATGTGTATCAGCTTATGTGATGTTTCGGCTGATTGATTTTGGTGATTTATATTTGTTCAGGGTGGTGCCAAGAAGGTTGTCATCTCTGCTCCAAGCAAAGACGCTCCCATGTTTGTTGTTGGTGTCAACGAGCACGAGTACAAGTCTGACCTTAACATCGTCTCCAACGCTAGTTGCACCACTAACTGCCTTGCCCCTCTTGCCAAGGTATACATCACCTCTCGTAGCCTATTATATTAGTCAATTTAGTAATTTTATTTTGAAATTCGTAAAGTGATTCATACTTGAGTTTTTTTTTTTCCTGTAGGTTATCAACGACAGGTTCGGAATTGTTGAGGGTCTTATGACTACCGTCCACTCTATCACTGGTAAGTTTCTCAATCTTCAATAGATGGTACTAAATTCAGAGGAAACTTTTGACCTAATGGTGTTATCTTTTATGTATCAGCTACCCAGAAGACTGTTGATGGTCCATCAATGAAGGACTGGAGAGGTGGAAGAGCCGCTTCTTTCAACATCATTCCCAGCAGCACTGGAGCTGCCAAGGCTGTCGGAAAGGTGCTTCCTCAGCTCAACGGAAAGTTGACCGGAATGTCCTTCCGTGTTCCCACCGTTGATGTCTCAGTTGTTGACCTCACGGTTAGACTCGAGAAAGCTGCAACCTACGACCAGATCAAGAAGGCTATCAAGTAAGCTTTCTGTCAAAGCTTAAACCACTGGTTTCATCATATCTTGGTGAAGATATAAACTAACTGGTTGATTTGGTTTTACAGGGAGGAATCAGAAGGCAAGCTAAAGGGAATCCTTGGATACACCGAGGATGATGTTGTCTCAACTGACTTCGTTGGTGACAGCAGGTCGAGCATTTTCGATGCCAAGGCTGGAATCGCATTGAGTGACAACTTCGTGAAGCTGGTGTCGTGGTATGACAACGAATGGGGTTACAGTACCCGTGTTGTTGACTTGATCGTTCACATGTCAAAGGCCTAAACACTTGGATGATGTCGGAGGGATGAAGTGTCGTCTTTCGTCCCTGCTAATGGTCTAAATTTGTCGTTTTTGAATAAAATTTCTTGGGATTTAAATCTCGTTTTTTTTCAGTTTAAACCTCCCTCAGAGTTTGTGAAGAGGATCTTTATGTTTGGCTTTTGATATATTGAGTTGCTTTTTATTTTTATCAGATTTAAGTTTTTACTTGTCAGAACAAACGAAAATATCTTCGGTTTTACTTCTCCATATAGTTCGAGCTTTGTTTCCACCGCTCTAACAAGTGGCTATTCTTGATATTTGGAGAGCTTTTATAAGCTCAGCAGTGATCGTTTTGTCTCTAAATACGTCTAGTAGTTTGCCTTTGAACTCAAAGAAGGTAGCTAGGTAGCCTCTATGAACGCATCTTTTGCGTGGAAGTTCGGGTAGATATGATATGTTCGAGCACCAGTCGAAGAAGAAGAGAAGGCATAAGTATTGGAGATAATGACGAAGGTTTGATCAACGGGGATATTGGCCTGTGAATAACTAATTCGTATAAGCAAGACAAATGCTACATGGGTTGGTCCGGTCGTATGTATCAATTAGGTGAATAAGTATTTTTTCTTGATAAATGATTAGTTGTATAGTCTTATCAGCCATGTATTATCCACTTCAATGTTAAGAGAACCTTGAAAAAAGTGGACTGAGAGCTTCAAATTTGATTATTGCGATCCATGGCAAAGAGATTAATACCTCTCATAACTGAAGTTGCAAACTTCATGACTGAACAAACTCAAAAGAAGCTACATTTTTATTTCTTTATAGTCCATGTTCGTTGGTACCAAATGATGAAATAAATGAAATTTTACAGGATTGTCGAGTTGCTTAAAATCTAATAATCACTGACAGGGGAACTTGATGCTGAAATTGCTTCCAAGTTTTTTTGAAGAAGCAAATAAAGTTAAAAGGGCATAGAATTAAAAATAATCTTTCTCTGTACTAACAATCCATAGACATTCATTCCTTAACAATCCATAGACATTCATTCCTACCTTTCGTAATAGTCTAAGAGATGTGAGACTACCACTTGCTAAAAACTTACGTTCAATTCATAGACATTCATTCCTACCTTTCGTAACTAAATTGCAACTATAGTTACGAATCAAAGTTCCAGTAAACAATACTCTTTGATCAACTACACTTCCTATCATTTCACTAACCCACACATATAAATGACCAATCAATTTCATCAAATCGAAATTGAGACTGGGATAGTAAACATAGTTAAAAAAAACATTAACTTCCTTGTCCAAAGTAACCATTATCCAATAACCATGAAAAGAAATTCAAACTCTCAAACTTCAAAAAAACATTTTAAGACAAGAAAAAGACAACATATGTTTTTAACGGTAACTCTTCTGGAAACGAGAACGAGCACCACGACCACCAAACTTCTTCGGCTCACACCTCCTCGGATCAGCCACAAGCAAAGTCCTATCATACCTAATCAAAATATCCTTCACCTCCTTCTTCGACTGCTCGTCAACATACTTCTGGTAAAACGCCACAAGCGCCTTAGCGATACTCTGCCGAATCGCGTAGACCTGAGAAGTGTGACCACCTCCCTTGACACGTATCCTCATGTCGACGCCAGCGAAACGGTGCTTCCCTAGGAGGAGGACTGGCTCGAAGATCTTGAACCTGAGGATCTCTGGCTGGAACAGCTCGATGGGAGAGCCGTTGAGTTTGATTAGACCGCAGCCGCGTCTGCAGTGTGTGACGGCGACGGCGGTTTTCTTACGACCGAAGCATTGGACGGATTGTTTGGCTGGTTGAGTCGCCATGGGTTTGGGTTTTAGGGTTCGGGTGGTTAGCTGCTGCAGGTAAAATGATGTATGAGGAGGAGGGAAAACCCTAGTGGAAAGGGTTTTATAGGTTGTTTTGTGATAATGGGATTTTATTAGGTTTGTTAGACTGATTTTGAAGGCCCATTAAATCTTAGTATACATGATTTAAGGCCTAGGTGTGATACGACGTCGTATAATTCCAAAACAAAATAATGTTGTTAAAGGTGTATTACAGTAAAACCTCTATAAATTAATAATGTTGGGACTTTGAAATTTTATTAATTTATAGAGATATTAATTTACGAAAGTTTCCTTATTTATATTTTTTTATTTTTTCCATTTTTATTTATAAAATAAAATAAAATATTTGATTTTAGCATATGTACATTATTTAAATTTTAGAAATTTGATTTTTATATTGTTTTATTATCTTATTTGGTGTATATTTATATGTTTCATAGAAGTGTTACATGGTTTTCGATATAATTTAACTAAATATTATCAAAAATATATTGAAATCTTTAAAAAATAAAAGTATTTTTATAGTAAATATAAAACCCCTAACTAAATATTATCAAAATATATTTAAATGTTTAAGAAAACAAAAGTATTTTTATAGTAAATATAAAACCAACAATATAATGTTAGATTGTATTTATATAAAATTATATATAGCTAGATTATTAATTTATGATTTTAGTGGGATCATATATTTACATGGCAGTTTTGAAAATATTATTATCTTATTATTTTATTGATTTGTGTTATATTTTACATTGGCCCAAGTTGGGACCGGTGAAATTTATTAATTTATAGAGATTATTAATTTATCGAGTATTAATTTATAGATGTTTCACTGTATTTAGCAATTTAACTGTTGACTAACACTTTCAGCTATGGTTGTGAATTCAAACAAAATTCTATAACCTTTATCAAATGCATCTTGATTAAATACTAAAAAAAAAACATGGTTGTTGTTAGAGTTCAAATAGACAATTTTTCTATTATATGATATAAAGCCTACAGATTTCAGCTTCCCCAATTAGAGTGGGCCCTCAAGTTTGGGAGTTAAGGTTTAGTTGTGCTGAGGTTTATATTTAGATTGATAGGATACAGGTTTTTGTTTTTATGTGATATAACAATGAGAAGGAGAACACAGGAGATGGAAGGATAATAATATCACAGCAAGCTTTAGTTATAGTATACAAGCTCCATAATAATAATAGTAATCTTCTCAAACTCTGATCATTTTATAAATCTTTTTGGTACTAACTCTCTTCGGTTTTTTATATTTACAATAGCCGACTGAATCTTTNGTTTTTGTTTTTATGTGATATAACAATGAGAAGGAGAACACAGGAGATGGAAGGATAATAATATCACAGCAAGCTTTAGTTATAGTATACAAGCTCCATAATAATAATAGTAATCTTCTCAAACTCTGATCATTTTATAAATCTTTTTGGTACTAACTCTCTTCGGTTTTTTATATTTACAATAGCCGACTGAATCTTTTGTTTATCCTCTCTCAAATTTTCTTTCCCTCTCATTTGTCATGTGGGAACTCCAGGTCGTTTTCAATTACTTTGAAGTGTTGAGGCTTCTGTCCAGAGCAGTGGAGGTTCCACATTTTGAAGTATGACCTCTCAAGATTCTTCACCTGTAAGTAGTAAGCCAAATGGGAAGAAGCTAATTGGTTAAGGAAAAAAAAACGAAACAAGAGAGGAATGGAGATATGAACCGAGACTAACCCAGCGCATAGTGTCAAATAGAGGACAGGTTAAGCGGCTGGCTCTCAGTTCCTTAGTCAGTGCTTGAAGTTTGGGCTTGTTAAGAGCTAAAGAGACAGCCTTCTCTTCGTATTCCTCCAAGCTGTGATTTCACCAAGCTTTATGAGCATCTCTCATCATATAAACTAAGAATCTAGAGCAATGTACAAGCTGAGACACTCACCTATTAACAATCATCTCATGCCCCAGACCAGTTGCAAGACAGAGTGATCCAGCCACTCGAGTTGCCATTTTCTCAAGTGGTAATGTTATCATTGGTACACCAGCCCACAACACATCTGTTCCTGTTGTGTGTCCGTTACACAGAGGCCTAAGGACAGGACGAGAAGTATGAGTTTTGTGTTGTTTTTCAGATGTATATTCAAGTAGAGAGGGAAAAGAACTCACGTGTCGAGGATAACATCTGCAAGGACACTTCGCCTTATATGTTCATTCTTCATGGCAACATCTGTGAAGATAATCTGATCAGGCTGCACTCCTTGAGCAGCAGCATCTGTATATATATGGTCGATTAGTAAATCTTATAAGAGGAGACGGACAAGAAAATGCTAAGTAAGGGAATGAAACCACACGTACATGCGCGGAACCTCATCTCTCCAGCTGCAGGGAAACGAAGAAGCCAAAGAGCACTGTTGGGTACTCTTTTAAGAACGTTGCACCTTCATGGCCAGAAACAAAGAACAAGTCAGATTACTGAAATCTAATAAAAATCAAATCTCTACCTAAGAAAAACATTTTACCAAGTATTGACGATCTCAGGATCCATTTTGTACAGTTGGTTGAAGCATGCAAATATGAATTTATCTTCAGGTAGTCCATAGTCTGATCGCTTGGGCTTAGACTTTGGATCCAACACATCCTGATTTTTCTGCAGATGGAATTTATACAATGAGTTATGATATTCAAAAACCACATGAATGTCCAATAACATTATACAGACGACTTATCTCTGAATCATACCTGCTTGTAATCATTGACAAAGTAGCAGTGGGGAAGATGGACAAGCTTCTCTGAGTAAATGTGTGCATATTGCAGAGGAGACACAAACTGAAAAGGAAAAGAGAGTAACGTGTCAACACATCTGAGAGACAGAAAACTTGGAATGAAAAGCAAATTAATCTGAATTTTTGTCAATTGCCAACCTCATCAGTGACTAAATAGTCGATGTAGGTTGCACCAGTTGTACCAGGGAAGCCCATATATGAAACCTGGATTGGTGCAGGCTGCATAGCAAATATTTCATTCCTGGCTCCCTGCATATGTTAAACAAAGAACCGTTACAAAAAAGCTTTCAATGGGGTTGGTTACATCTCCAGAGTAAAAAATTCTACGTAATGTTCTGAGCAGATACCTTGGTGTAACCATTTAGATTTATGAGGATCTGGATGTTGTCTTCGTTTATAGTCTTGGCGATAGCATCGGATGACATAGCAGAAACGTCCAGGAAATGCTCAGCTTCTGACTGGGTACGCAGTCTCCACTCAGTACCATCATTTGGACTCAATGCATAACAGAAAACCTCAACGTTTTCTCTGTTATGCATCCCAAACACTGATCCCATGAGGTGTGACAACGGATGATTACCAAAATCACTGCTCACGTATCCAATCCTTAGTCTCTTAAATCCTCCCTCACGTTTTACAGGGACCCCAGCTGGATGGTTGAAGGGAGGTAGTCCAAAACGGGAAGCAATTATAGAGCAGTGTGCAGCATATTTACGGCTGAAAATGAAAGGAGACTTGTAAGGAACAGGCGAATAAACATGAGTTTTTGTTTTGAAGTTCAGCTTCAAACCTGATCTCTAGGGCAAGGATGGGATCAATAGGATATGCTATTGCATGGAAGGGCTGGACACTTGGAAGGACAGACATCTGAAGACACAATAGGATATAAGCTTACTTCCTTACTCTGTAATAGCATAACAAGTACCAAAAGTTTTGTAGCGTATACACTTACATTTATTTGCCTCCTAATAATGCCTTCAACTTCAGTGAACATTTTGCTGCGGTCCTCCCAACAGCATACACACTGGTAGCCGCAGGAAAGAAGAATAAACTCATGAGAGACAATAACAATAAACAATAGCCAGAGAACGGAGACAGAAGCTAAAAGTCTTACCTGCAAGGTGTGCAGAAGGTTGCAAGTTGCTTCTGGGAAGTCTGGTCGTAGTAGCACGGCCTGCTTATAGCTGGTTATGGCAGCTTCCACATGTCCACTGTTTATGTAAAAAGGTCCAAAAATTACATCAACCCAAAAATAAATATCATCCTGATGGAACACATACAGTTAAAAGCAGGCCAATGCTATACTGCTAGTCCAAACATCTTAAATGTTCTTAATCCTAGAAACAAGCGTCTAACTAACATGAAAGTATCACAAGGACTGTACGGGGGAGATACAAACGTTTGTACTGAAGCATGACAGGAATCGCATGCATGTAATCCTGAATTGCAAAATAACAGAGAATGGATACCTATCCTTGTAAGCTGAGGCCAGGTTTGCATGAGCTTCAGCCATTGTAGGCCGGAAAGTAATAGCATGCATGTAATCCTGGATTGCTTCAGTTACCCTCCCGATCTCTTTGAAAGTATTGCCTCTATTAACAAGAGCATCAGCAGCCAATGGGTCAATACGAAGAACCTCATTATAGCAGGATATAGCATTCGTGTAATTTCCCTGCAGTTAAGGAAGAAAAAGAAACCAGCATTCGTCAAAAAAACATGTTCAAGAGTCCAATAATGATTGAACATCGACAAAAGGAGCATGTAGCCACCTGTTGTTTGTAAATTATTGCAAGGTTATTGAAAGGAGCAGATAGCCCTGTCGTTACAGCCAAAGTAGCTTGGAATAATGAGGAAGCAGGACCCATCATATTCCTGTTCAAAGTTGTGACATGAGGTTACTATAATACTGTGTGTATCTAGTAAGAAGCAAGAAGAGAACCACATACCACTCCATGTATATATTTCCAAGATTGGCCATTGCTTGTGGATGATTCGGTTGTAAATTAAGACAATGCTGCAAAACACCACATGTTCGTCAGAAATGTGCTAATTCATTAACAAACCTCAAATAGGAACCACACTTACATTATAACACCGAACTGCTTCATCTACACGCCCAATGTCCTTCAACGCATTACCCTTTAAGATGCAAATGCAAGAAGATCACATGTCAGAAATATAATTCATAGACCACAATACCCACATAAGACGTATTCTTGATGCTAACCAAGTTGTTGTAAGCCTCTAAGAAACGTGGATCTCGGGAGATAGC